TCGTAGTTGACTGATAGTTGATGAATATAACAAAAAAATTATTCAGATAAACAATAGTCCAGAATGTAATTGTTATCAATCCATCAATTATAAATAAGTAGTTTTTTGTTTGAATGAGAGGATTAGTTATAAAGATTGTTATGCTTATAATCACACAAACCGGCTACTTACTTAAACAAGTGGAAAAACCAAAACGGGTCCGACAAGTGTTTAGAGTTAGTTAATCTTTGCCAGTATGTCATATTGATATGCTTAAAAATATTATGAGTTCACCTTATTCAGTAAACAGAGCGCAGATCAGTGATGCAGTGACACGATAGGCTATTCTGATTCGATTGTCCCCGGCCCTACCAACTATAGCAAGAAGTCTTGATAAGGCGTACAAAGTGTATTCTACAAGCACCAAGGAAATATGAGGTCGACAAGCGCATACATCGAGTTTATTTACACATGATAGAAACGTCCTTGGGAGAGCCACAAAAATAGCGTACTAAAATAATACATCAACCACCAAATGTAATCTCAAGGTCAACTGATCAGCCCATGCTCGAAAACATAAAATCCAAAATTAGGACCTTTATCAAGTGAGTTCTGGGGATCAAACGTTCCCAACACATATATCCAAGATTCTAGACAGATTAAATGCCTAAAGAACCTCACGATGTCAATAAACCACATATCAGAAATTAGTGCTGTTTTTTTTCTTTCTTCTAATGACACTGACGAACTTACAGTCAGCCTACTACTACATTAAATTAAATTCAGTCTGCTTTTTTAAAAGAAAATAGACAATACTGTTAGGTAGAACATGGTAAGTAGAATGGAATAACTTACTTTAGCCCATGCATAATCCATTGGAACAATACGGGGTGGATGATCAGGTTTCGGTATTAATTGACCACTTCTTACTAGTTCGTCAAAAACACGCCTAAAAATCAATTAAATCATTATATATATAAATATGGAAAAGTCATTATTATATGAGAAATAAGAAATATTAGAAATAGAAAAACAATAATAACAAAATTTAAATATACACAGACATGTATATAAATGTATATATCAGGCTTTAAACTTTAATATACATGAACATTTATATGAAAATGTTAAATCAATCAATGCAATTTATTATGAGTCAATAATCACAACGGAACTTGAGATTATGTAGCTACATATAATAGGTAAAAGTTGGTAGTATGGAAGACAGGTGTACCGATAGTAGTAGCTGCTCCTGCAAAGGTAGCTATATCGGACGTACTATTAGACAAATTAACCAACGAATGAGTGAACGTCTCTCAGCATGGGTTGAGAAAAGATCAGATACAAACAATACACAGCTCTATCTTGTCACATCTGATTGATAGGAGTCATAGCATCGATATATAAGAATCATTTCGAGTGATCTATCGAATACCTTCATCATTTCTCAACGAAGTTAGATCCCATCACCTGCTTACAGTAGAAGCCATAGGTATCTGAACAGTTAACCCCAATTCATGTGTTCAGAAGAAATTCATCATACCTTTGTCCTTTCTTTGGACGAATAAAACTTAATAAATGAATGCACATCTTGTAGTTGTAGTTTTCTGCCTCTTTCCGTTTACATTATTCACTATCTAATTGTATACACACTTCTTCCTACCTGATGGTTTTAATGTTTTGTAATGATTATTTTATCCGCGTTTGACCTACTATCTCCAATGTTGAACTATTGACGAAAACTTATGTTATTGTATTTTATTATTCTTACCACTACTAACAGTACACCTGTCTTCCATACTACCAACTTTCACTTTCACCTATTACGTGTAGACCCATAATCTCAAGTTTCATTGTGATTATAGACTCATTCATAATAAATTGTCATGATTGTTTTAACATTTTCACATAGATATTCATGTATATAAAAAAGTAAAGCTTATCGACGAACTAATTGAAAGCAACAATATATTGTTCGCTTATATATCTATCTATGTTATTCTAATTATGCACAATAGGAATCTTTAATATTACAAATTAATTAGTTAATAATGAGAAAAAATCGAACAAAAAAAGGTAAAATCTCATAGTTAACATCATAACAGAGTTAATTGATTGCTACAATAGTTATAATTAACTGTTATGAAATGATGTTGTTGAATTCTGAAGTTTTACATCACACATGCAAACCGTTGAATATTAACACATACATACACACTGGTGTTCACACTAAATGTCATTTGAATGTACTAATAAGGTTTTTTTTGGGATGCATTCATCTTCGCTAAGGTTGTAAAATTTACATTTTCAAAGAGTTCCATAGTCTAGTGATACAAAACAGAAACCTCTATTGAATGCAATAATGTGTCAACGTCCCTTCTACTCGTATATCGGTATTTGAGACGTTCGAGTAGTAGTATAATTTTGTATATCCCTGAGTAGATCCGGTTTTATACTCGAAGAATTCATTCATCAATATTAATGTCTTTTGTACACAATCCAACGATATAGTCAATAAATCAAACCAAGAACACAGTTCAAAAAGAATGAACAAGAAAACAATTATTTCTAAAAATAGTTTAGAAGATAATGTCAACACTATATCCAAGGTCTTTTTCAGCAGATACATCAATATCATTAAAACATTTACAAAACTTGTAAAATTTAGTTAATTTATCTTAAAAATAAGCAGGTGATTATTTTTTGTTTATTTGTCTCCGTCAATTTAATGATTTTTTGAATAATAACTGTTACTTTCCCTAAAATAAACAAGTGCATCCACTGACTTTTATAATCATAATAATTTCATTGAATAAGTTATGGTCTTTTAGATACAGAAAAAAAAAATTAATTAATATAATTTATAATTATTGGATATATTTCTAGACAGCATATTATGATTCACATAGACAATTATAAACTATGGACAAAGCTGTTAATTGGCATTATCATTGAAAATGAAAAAAATACTAAACTTTTAGATCTGACAGTGAAAAGTGTCTAACTAGTAGAATCATTAGGTTAGCATTTAAGCTAGTCTTCTTACCTTGGTAATCTTTAAGCCTAGGGGGTAATGTGACAAGTTTCCTACCCTTTCTTATTCTTTTCATATTACGTTCTCTCTCCTTTATTTATCACCCTATGTCTAGTTGAACTTTTATTTAATTGACCTTTTATTCATCTTCATACATACAATGCCTTGACAAGTAAATATGTGTGACCAGATTGTTCGAAATGTGTATAGCGCGCAAATACATCACAATATTTTTCAGATCAATTACATCTTCTCACTGTTCTATCAAAATTTATAAAAGGGACTAATTGTTTTAAATTAAGTCTTCTAGTGTTTCATAATTTTTTAATGGTATACTACCAGTGGAGTTCAACGCTGCTTGGGTGTGAAGTAGTGCTTATTGAAGACAGTGGATGAGGTTGCTTGCTCGAAAACTTAAGGTCCTAGATCCGAAACCTGAGAGTAGCAGGAGTCGTGGATAAGCATTGTTAATAAGCCGTATACGAGGGCAAAACGCCCGTCCAGTGCTTCCAGACTTCTAATGGTGGTCTAACAATGATTGATTCATGATTCCAAAGTAACTTAACAATCTCCACTACCGTATAATGCAAATTAACAATCATCTAGTCACTATGAAATCCCATCATTTTAACTACTGTTTTTTTTTCGCATCAATCAAATATTTTGGCAAGCTGTTCTTATTTCACTGATCACAATGATGATCACAATATGACCCATGACGATAGTTTATACTGGTATATTGAAGTTTAACAAAAATTATTAATAGTACGACAAAACAGATCATTTTTATTAATTTGAATAGATTCAGACACATTAAACAATACATATGCAATAAACAAAAACACAATTCAATTACTGTTTTAATTACTGAATTAGTTTACATTTTAACCTCAGTAATTGTTTTTAATTTTATGAAAAGGAGTTTATATTACAGCCTAATTTCAACCCTAACTACGAAGAATATTGAATAACTTGATTTGTTATTTTGATAGTATAGAACTAGCTCTTAAGTCGAACGCAACCAATATGGCATGTAGGATCAAAACCAAAGCTTTTAAGCTTAAATCTCATAATAGTAGAGATGGTAGAAGTATTAGCGATTATATAGAAGATTAGGGGTTCGACGATATTATTCAAGAAGTATAATAATCTAGTGAAATAAATTTAGAAAGAGAAAAACAGGGGTGATGAGGACACAAAGAGTGGATGCACCTGCACCACTGCAAACGCTTTTCAGTCACATCATTCAAGGTCTTTCTAACTATCGGTTACTATCATCTCGCACACCCTAACCAGTTAGTCGACACACCAACCCCAATCTTTATGATCATTACAAGTTTCTGTTTGTTTGTTTTCGCAAAATTCATAAATCATTCAATAAACCAATCAACTAACCTAATTAAAAGATCTAATTCATCAAATGATTCTGGTACATGTATACCATCAATACTAGCTAATGCTTGATTTTTTGCTGTAGCTGTTTCATGCATAGAATTAGCACATGCACCAGCATGACCAAATTGAATAGATCCTTCAGTATTTGTTGTAGCACTTAATAATTCACCGCATGAACCAATACACCATGCTATAATTGGTTTTTTAATTTTACCCAATTTAACTGCTTCAATAATTGCATATTCTTCTACACCACCAACCTATGGGAGAAGAGGAGGAGGAGAAGACGGAGAAAAAGTAGAGAATAGTTATAATAATAAATAACGTTCAATATGTAGGGATTTAAGGTATCCTACCATTATTGATATATTTTGTGACTGAATTCTCCTGATTCTTTGTTAGTATATGTGCATCCTGAACGAATTCACTTAATTTGAGCCATTTCACAACAAATTTCATGGAAGAAATGTATTTTAGCAGGTAGTAGACTGATGGAAATTTGGTCGACCTTATGAACAATTGAACATTTCAAAATGTATATAAATTAAATTAAAAATTCATACCCGTTCCATGAGTGAATGGATATGTGGATGTAGTAGCTCAGTAAATAACTCGTTCGGTATTTGGTTCAAGTACCGGAGAAAAGATCAACACTGGAGTGCAGATACATTCAGGATGAAATGCACAACAACCAACCTTTACTCAGTAATAATAAGTGTAACAATTTGGCAATTTCTCGGTAGTATTTGTTACGACTTAAAAACCGGCTGAAATACTATTGAAACCTGAAGTGTATTCTAGTGTATGAGAGCAGTGCATATTTATGACAGACTAGTGAGCGATCGAACATGGGACTTTTAGTTCTAGTAGCGAGTGTTAACTTTAAACTGAATTAGACTACAATGCGTTCCTATTTGTAATATCAATTATAGTGTAATGATCGTTCAGTGTACTCCGTAATGACTATTTCACTTTCTGAATGAATGAATGAGAAAGACACTACAAGGTTATAACTCTCAAATTACACGGTCAATCCCGATCATTCAGAAAAAATTGAAAAAATCACAAAGAATGGTTTGTAACAAAATCAATTTGTTTCGAACTAAGATGAGACCATAAAAAGACAATTTGACATGCCTTTATTTTAGCTGCACTCAATGAAACTACAAAAATTTTTTTTGGAAAAAATTTGCAAATACTTTATAAATATGATATAAATGTTGATCAACAGAAAGCTTTCAAACTTGTTTCTGTGTTTTGTTGACTGATTCTGAATGTTATATTCTTTAAACATGACTTAAAGCAATAGTTAATGAATGACTGGTAGATAGCATAGGAAACAAAAGATTAGCAAGCATCTATTCAATTTTTGATTATTCTCATCAAAAGAATTATTCAATTGAGAAATTAAATAAATCTCAGTTCGTGTAGAAGACTCCACATACATAGTGCAAAACTAGGTAACCTTGTTTAAAAAAGAATTATTTTCTTTCTCATTTGGTAAAAGTTTGTAAGCTACTGACTGGTTCTAGTGTTAACGACTGGAGTTGATCAATCTCTATTAAAATACTTGCATCCTAAGCGGATTCCTTGAATATTGCCGTTTAGTTGCAGATTTTGATTAAGGGTTGGATAGGGGCTACGAGTGGGAAACCGGAAGGTTTTGCTTTGTCGAAGGTTTTTCACTTGCATGAAAAACTATCCGTGTTGATGTTTAACACTGGAATTCTGGTACATTTAGTGTTTGAATTTTGAACAGCTGCTAGCTGAGACCTAACTCTGATTAGATGGTTTGTAATTTAATAACGGCAAATCTAGGCAGTCTGCACAATATGTACGTATGCTGAAAGAGACAAATCAATGGTAGTCTTTAACTTTAACCAAGAAGTAGATCGAAACAACGCTTAAAATCAATTAAAATTCACCCTTCAATGCATAAACTCAGGGTGTTGTATAGACTAAAACACTTTCATATGTTTTTCTTTATACTTACTTCACCTAAGACAACAATCATACCGATTTCTGGATTATTTTCATATCGTAGAATATGATCAATAAATGTTGAAGCAGGAAAACGATCACCACCAATTGCTACACCTTCATAGACACCATCAGAATTCATTGAAATAATATTATTCAATTCGTTGGACATTCCACCAGAACGTGAAACATAAGCAACACTGAAAGAGAGAAGAAAAGAATGTGAATCTGTTAAAACTGTGGCATGCTAAAGCTTTAACAATTCTAATCAGAAATCTCTGTATAAAACTAAGGCTAACATTAAATCAACTATGGCTTGTTTGTACTTTTAGAATAAATTTCGAGGCTATGACCATCAACATAAAAGAAATGCTAATAGGTTTAAGTGTTGTGAAAATCTGTACTAAATTTGTCCATGGTCACAATTTTTGTCCGCTGAAATAATTATCTCATTGGTTGTGAGACATTTCTATGTGAGATCTGATTGGTTCGATTCCGATGGAACTGGAAATCATCAATAGTAGAAGTGGAACAACGTAATCCAATCGAATTCTTATACTATAATTCTGGAGCACCTTCAGTGACGGAAACATTACTAGAAACAGTACAACGTGGAAACAAATCTTTCTGTAACTGTAATCATATTCGAAGTGAAATCTGAAGTAGTTATAATGTGATTGCTTGAGTTCATCGTCATCAAAATGTTTATCCTTGTAATAAAAATTATTCGATTTTATATCAAGTTAAAACCTACAATAACCATTAAGATCTATTTTTGGAAACTTTAACATTACTGAACGATAGGTTTGAGTGGTGAAAGGGGAAAGATGTGGAAAAATTTTCATTAGTGCGTGGGTGAGTGGAAACATTAAATGTAAACCGAAGTTGTTTTTATGTTATTCTAAAAATTACACGTTTTAATCGCTCAATCTAATGTAATTTTGAACCACAAGTTCCTCTTGTTTAATTCATTTTTATCTTGTAAATTAATTTTTCTTAAAACATAAATTATTTTCTTTATTTCGTACCATTTTCTCTGTTTACATTAAATGAATTAACATCTTCAATGGAAAAGATCAGACGATCAAACTAAGCTAAAACTCAGCATGATTACGTTGAGTGAATCATATACATACGTTGACTTATAAGAACATGCTAATGAGTAAGATTTGGCTTCCTTGTCTAAGCAAGAAGATGTACACATCCTTCTCACTCAAGTAACCGGTTCAGATTGTGTACGAAAAGCTTGTGTATTTAGCAACAGAATGAAACATTGAACAAGTGAACACTACAGAACATTTTGAATAAGTATTGAAGATTTGAATAGCTTGAAGTTTTTCATCCGATTACATGACACGTTACAATTCACATAGAACAATGCAAAAGGATCATTTTTATCGAATTAAAACAATTATATGAATGTTAACACTCACCTTCCAGGTCGATAAAGTTTTGATGCAAGTATATTATCGGTCATTCCGCCGGTATTACCAATTTTAAAACAACCAGCTTTTAAACCACCTACCTATAGAAAATATGGAAATAAATAAATAAATACCGATAGGATGACTGGAAATCAAACAGCTCTGAACAGTTGTTTCGCCGTGGAACAAAACTCATCAGAAGTGAATGTACACAATCGCACCAACAACAAAAAACCCAACTACACAATAACTTGATTGATACAATTATTCAATGAGTATTAATTAAGGGCTTATATTACAAGGATTACATCGTTCACTATTCAATGATCAATTAATGTAAATATCTCTGAGTTCAGTATCCACCTAAGTAGCCCGGAAATAATGTTTTAAACAGTAAAGTTGGTTTGAATCTATTAGGGAATATTAACTAACATACTTCAAGAATTAATCACAGAAAGATGGATGCATTCACTATCCATCTTCTCTGAGCATCAATATATTTTTAAAAAATTCTTATCAACCTTTTCTTTTAAAACAATATCCTTTAGTAATAATAACAATAATAAGTCAGACTATGCCACTTCCTTACAGAATCAATAAACAAATCAAATTAACACAAGTTTAAATGATAAAATAGCACTAAGCAAAAAATATTTAGTGTAATTAAAGATTAGATTTGATCGAGTGCAATATCAGTTCAAGGTGATTTTTGAAAGAACTAAGTGTATATGTTAATGGGCGTGATTAATTTTTCCACAACAGAATTATTTCAAACGTTTTTCTCATCTACCTTTGTTAAATTTATGTCGCCATCTTAACGTAATATAATATCAACGTAGGCTGGTAACATTGACCCCAGATTCTATGTTAATTGTAACTGGCTGATATAGTATAAGTGATTGATGAAATTCGATCAGTACTAATGACTAAACAAACATGACACTGGGTGCTTACTTAACAATCACCCAACTACCAATGAAAACCTGGAAGCACTAGACGGCCATTTCATTTTCTCATGGAACTCCATGTCGGGTGTGGGGTAGTTACCAACCGAAAACAATGGAAGATAGTTATGCAATCTTCTGAACTGATTGGAGTTATACACGTATACCACTGGCTTCTAGCCTAGTGGTCTAAACATTAAACGCTCGCAATGAAACCTAAAGGTCTTAAATTCCATCGCTCTTGCGTCTATGGTAGCGCACTACTGTAGCGACCATTCTAGAATAAAACAGCTGCTATCTAATTTTAAATGGTTGTCTTACCAAGAACAATCGATGCTGAAAACTTTGATAGAACCAAAACCTATAGATCTACAAACTTGCACGACACTAAACAATGAGGAGAAGCTGTGTAAGTCGAGTGTGATAAATACGAATAGTGTATAAATAATCATGTTCAAAATAAACATCACTACAAGTAGTGAGAATCATCTATACATATTTCACTAGAAAATAAACCTAAAATAGAATAATCGATTGAAACTGATAGCTTTATTAGCTTAAAGCACATGTTAATAAATAAAATGTAAATTGTTTAGTTTACCAATCATTTCATTCAAGAATGAACTGATGCATTGTAATCAATTAATTAGTAAAGATCAGCATAGAATACATTCATGATATTTTGATTAATGTAGGAGACTTTTAGATACATTATTTAGTTGAAATGGCCATTTGATACTACTTGATACTACCCGAAGCAAAGTAGGTGCAAGGAATATGGAAACTGAGATTGATTAACTAGAGAGTAAATTGCTTGAAACACTAAGCTACAAGACCATAACGGAGATGCATTTTGTAATCAAGAAACACTTAATCAAGAATAAACTAACACATAAATGGTATACAGTCGGTCAATCAGTCAACAGCAACGTAGAACTTCGTACGTAAGCACATCAGGTCAGGTTTTCATACCACATCAACACAGAGAAGCAACTATCAATCGAAATCCCATAGTGGTAGAGATAATAGACGTATAAATGATAATGCAGAAGATTAGGGTTCGTAGATATTATTCAAGAAGTGTAATTCAGTGAGATAACTTTAGAAAGGTAGAGGTGATGAGGAATTCAGAAGATTAGAATTTTGAGAGAACACAAAGAATGGATGCATCTGAGCCATTCCAAACGATTTTGAGCCATGTCGTTTAAGGTCTTCAACCATTGGTGACTTTCGTCTCGCGGACCACAACCAGGTAGTCTACATCTAACAACATAACTCAGTCCACTTGTCAATGACTTCATGTATTTGTGCCATGTTTTGGTTTGGCTGCCCCTAGCTTTCTTCCAATCCACTACTACACCAGGCAGTCGGTAGTTGGGCATTCCTAGCACATGTCCCAACCAACTCAACTGATGAATTTTCATTACTTTATCAATTGATCTGCCATCACTACCTCGTACTAATTATAGCACTGCTTACTCGGTTGTCTCAGGACACGCGAGCAATGTTTCTATGATCGAATACTAGAAACCTACGAATATCTCCTCTGACTAGCCATGTTTCGCATCCATAAAGTAGGACGGAGCGAACTACTGCGCAGTAAGCCCCTGCTTCGCCTACAGGTCAAGAGAAAATAAACCTAGCTACAATAGTAGTATTATCCAACAAAGCCTAAGAGACTTAAAGTTGTAACCAAGCAATGAACAACAACATAGTACAGAATGCTGACAGAATGTAAATTCAGACAATTAACTAAACTGTTTCACAAGTTTCGAATCAATAACAAAAACTAATATTAAATTCCAAGAATAAGTTAAATCCAGAAACTTAGTAGTTGAAAAATACTCGATTATCAACTATTGGATAATCGGTTCAAACCCGACTCTCCATAACACTACCTACATCAACTTTTACAACTAAGAAGTAATTACAGCCATCTCACCCATAGAATACGATTCAAAGTTAAGTACATACGTATGCATTGATAAATGAGTTGTGCATTAATATGAATAGTAACCAAATACGAAAAATAAACCTATAAACATATACAAAATAAAAATGAACCATATCAGAGTAAAAAACACAAAAAATATTTAACAAATAACAAAACTCACAGTTGCTGGACCAATAAGTAGAATATTTCTTTCTTTCGATCGTTGTATTAAACAACGTGTCATATTCTCTGGTATACCTTCAGCAATAATAGCAATACACTTTATTTGTGCTTCATTAACCAATAAACCATTATTATTCATGTTTTGAATGTCACCATTCACTATTCCATTCACTTGATGATTCAATGAAACAATACGATCAACTTGCATAGCTTGCATGCATATATCATAAGCAACGCGTAATGAAGCAAAATTCACTAATATACGAGCATCTGAATGTTTATGCATTGCATTCAACATATGCTTATAAACTGGTATAAATAATTCTTTTCCACCCCAATAAAATTTCAATTGATGATCATCACTTTGATAAGAAATAAAATTAAAAAAGCATACAATTTAATTTACCAGGATTATTATTGGTTATTTTGTAATGTGTATTTCTTATTTGTGTAGTGTAGTTAAATGTGCTAAGAGCTGAAGTTATCTAGTTTTAAAAATCAGTTTTAATTCCTACTCGTTATGATAACCGCGAGTACAATTCTCTTAATTCGTTCTGTCGTATGACCTTTGCTACTACTCTCTGATTATCAATTTTTTGTTACATCTTAAGGTCATTGGAGTTTTGTCTTCGTTAAATACCTATTTCTCTTCTCTAAAACACTGCCTTTTCTGCATTCTATCGTTAAGGATTATTGATGAAGAGTTGTATTTGTCAACTGTTGCCTTATTGAATTTGCAACAGATTCCCTTTCGTATTAGACTGATCCTGATTGCTCACCAGTAGCAAAATGAACCAAATCCCGGAACACAACAAAATATTCAAGCTAACAATCACATATATACATATGTGTATGTATGTGTGTACTGAGACTATTTCCTTCATCTGTGTAGTGAAAAAGACAATACACCTTCATCACTTCAAGGCATCTTTGTTTAGTTAGTTAACTATGTTTCAGACTGTTGGTTAATTATCAGTGAAAATATTTGCTCTGTTGCATTTTGCTCATTCAAGCTTTCGTGTAGTCTATTGAAAGGTTTAATACTATTGTTGGCGAATTAATCGATCAGCTCAAGTCACTCAACCATATTTTTCCTGATGTCGCCTCTGCATTAACACAATAGAGTGAGTCTGTTAGGAAGACCTTAAATTAGTTTTACACTTTTTTAATAAATGGTAGTGCTGACGTAAAAGGAAGTCAGTGGCAACATTTTCTCAAATTGATATTTCCGCAATAACCTTGGTTTTCATTTTATTGTTTGATCTAATTTTCAGTTTGCAATTTCGCTACCTTAATGTCACATTTCTTCAGTTGTTGTGTATTAGTTGACCGATCTATCTAGTTTCCATAGAAGCAGTTTCGTATAAGAAGGATATTTCAATTGTTCACAATTCGAAGATACCGTTACCTCACTTTAAACATGACAAAGGGATACAAAATTAGAATGAAACAGTAATCAAATGATCTTCGGTTTCTGATTATCTATTTCACTGCTCTTCAATGATGGACATAACCTGTGAGTTGTACAAATATCTACATAAACACCGCAACATATATATATATATATTTATATGTAAATATATCAGCAAGCAATTATTTATGTTCTACTTACAGTATATGTGAACCAATTTTATCCGCGGAGCTAGTTATACAGGCCGTACTGAGAATGCTATGGCCTTGTAAATATAAACCGGAATAATTCGAAAGATGAGTCGAGGGATCGTTTAATCAGGTTATCTTTTTTCCCACTATAGATAATGAACATCACTAAAAAATAGGATTCTTTCTCGGTTCCGTGTCAAGTTTCTAGGAGCAAGATTAAGGATCCGCTAAGTAGCGAATGCTATCACGAAAAGCTTTAAAAAAAGCCGGAGAGGTGTATTCGACTTTGCTGTTTACCATGGATCATGACTGAGTTCAATCATGATTAAACTACATATTATAAACCCCTATCAATTAATCCCATGTTCATCTCTGTCCTGCCCCATTCTTAATTTGCACATTCATCTTTTCCAGGTCATATGAATTCCTTGTTACATAATTTATCGTAATAACATCTCTTCCATTAAATATTTTATTCCCATAACCATATTATTAAAGTTGCTACTTTTGTCTTCATTATTAATCCAACATAACCTGACATAGTACCGCTGCAACTACACAAGTTATTTACACGACCGATTTAGTTTCGCTAATTCCAGCTCAAATTTCTTATTGCTCTCTAAAGTGACCTCTCGAACTTGTAGATGACAAAGTTCAGATGTATTTAAGTCGCGATTCATACAGAAGTCTAGTTGATTTTCACTTTTCTATGCCTTATAGTGGCCAGTTCAGTGCAATAACTATGAATCCATAATTATAAAACATACCGATGAAGATAATTTTGGCATAGGAACGAGCTTGAAATAACCGCGATAAATATCCAGTTAATTTTTAGCCAATCACAAAACAATTTTGATAAATGAATAGTTTGTGGAAAATAGAACCATAATATAGTAAAGTGTTCGAATTCTTTCCACATTGTTCCTCTTTTTCTGGTAAGCGGCAGTAACCCTAGAACTTCGAGTGAACTAAATCATGAAGAGCTCCACAAATCAGAGAAGCAAGGGATATAGTGGACAGTTTGGATGAAGCTAGGACTTCACAGATGACCTTGCTCTTCTATACTACACATAGCAACAAATGCAGATGAAGACGGACAGTGTGGCAGTAGGTCTCAGCATACACAAAGGAAAAGGCAAGATCCTCCGATACAACACAACATGCACCGACCAAATCACATTTGATAGAAGCCTTGGAAGATGTGGAAACTTTTACACACCTGGGCAGCATCAACTAGGTGGATTTGATGCAGATACGGGGAGACGAATTGGGTAGCATTCCTGCAACTGAAGAACATCTGGGAATCAAAACAACTATCTGTCAACAAACACTAAAATAAGAGTTGTCAAGACAAGTCTATTGTACGGAGCTGCAACTTGAAAAACTGCTATCATCATCATCATCAATAAGGTACAGGTATTCATAAAACAACTGTTTACGCAAGGTACTTCAGGGCCGTTAGTTGAATACCATTAGCAATCATTTACGGTGGTAGGGAAAAACCAGCTTCCGGGTAGAGAAGAAACCGGGAAAAACGCTGAAGTGAATAGAGCATGCATTGTAGAAATCACCAAACCGCATCCACAAACCAAATCTTAACTTGAAATTGTCAAAGCAAAAAGAAAAGAGGCAAACCAAAGAAAAAATTATCATTTCACTCTATAACCTTGTCTTACTTGAAAGGATAAATCAGAGCTGCTATACTTGGAGTGTCACGACCCGAAGCATAATCAAAATCTAACATCGACTGAACAGCTTTCACTTGTAAACCCCATATTAAACATTTTGTTTTCGCTGTGAAAAGTGGTTCTTCATAAATAATCTCATGATTGTTATCACCAGTAGTGTTGGCAGCAGAGGACTCAGAAACATTGGGATTTTGACCGTTCACCATTGATGTCACTTTTTCTGAGTTCTTGAAATACGATTTTAAAAAGTATGCAAAAATTTTAATTGACTAACTGATTAATTACAAAGGTTAGGTGAAATGTTCAAGAGCTACATAACTAGATAAGCTGAATCAATATAACAATTGAATAAAGCAGTGACTTAGCTGTAAGAAGTGTTTCACCTTTGATATTTGCCTTCAACACTACATATCCAATGGTCCCAACGTACATAAATAATGCTTCAAGGGCATCCTATGACAAAATGCTGGTAACCTAGAAATATCCTCTATTTTTAAACACGTATAGAATAAACCGACACCAAAGAATTTAGCCTAGCGCTTAATGTAAACAATACACATGCACAAAGCTTAGAAAAAAAGTAGTCACATTTCAAACACTGTGATATATTTTTAAGAATTATACAATCAGCTATAGAGATATCACTTATTTCATCAAAGTTCACATTGTTAGCTGACATTTTAGTTAACTGCGTCAATGTCAACAATACAATTTGATTATTAAACTGTCTTAGTATGATTTAAAAATACGAACTATTCGATTAAACGCTGCCAATATACTGAAAGCATTCTGATAATATGAAAGTAAATTAATTTCAGTAAAAAAAATAATTGTCACTGACACTTCATTTATGAAAATAATTTAAATCAATTTATAATTAATTGTATATTATGTATTGAATTATTATTATTGTTATTATTCTTATATTTGACTTCTTTTATTTAGAACCATTTTCTATAAGTCTATTCTTTACCATCACAATTACATCATCATATTCTCGACCCGTTCATTTCATGAATTTTAGCTTTCTGTTGTGAAGTGCTCTGAGAGATTGGACTGAGGCACATATATGTGCCAGGGTCTTAAGTTGACGGTGGCGTAGGGCGAAATATTTATTTGTTAACTAAGGGGGACTGGCATTCTGAGCTGTAGTTTGCCATGTTTTGCTTTATGGGTGTAAAATGTGATCTTTAGAGAGAGGATATTCATAGATTACTATTATTCGATCATAGGTGTTTTCAAAACATTGCCCACATATTTTGGGACTATCGAGTAGTTAGTGATTCTTAAGTGAGACGCATGGGTAAATATAACAAATTGATTGAAAAGCTAGTGAATCACTATTGATTGAGATGGTTAAGTATGACAGTCTATCGACTACTTCAATAAATGATGATGGATGGTGTGGGTGTTGTAGGAAAGCTATGGCCAGCCAAACCAAAACATGGTATCAGCTTATGAAGACACTGACTATGGAAACAAGTCACGCAAATAACCTGATTTAGGTTCGTCTTATTATCGTAACCCATGAGTAGAGTTTAAATGACGTGGTTCAAAATCGTCCTGAATCCAAATTTTCTAAATTCATCATATATTTTTATGATTATACTGATGAATATTTTCTTCCTGGATGCTTGATCATTCTATTCCCACTAATAGTGTTTATTCCACCTTTACTTCTCTGGGATTTGCTCCAAAAGTTTCATTTCATTGTACTAATGGGGTATAACAACTTGAACTGATGTGCATATGTTCCAGGTTCTTCGGTCAGTCAGCTACAACGGAGAACTTGGTATATACGTAGATCAGTTCAAGTTGCCATAACATCTAAATACACATTGATAGAATCGTCAATTCAAATCCCACAGTGGTAGAGGCAGCAGCAGTATTAGCAGTAATCGGAACCATTAGGGATTGAAGATATAACTCGAGAAGTATAATGATGCAGTGAGGCAAATTTAAAAAAAAGAAAAAAGGAGCAATTCGAAAGATTAGAATTTAAGAGAAGACAAAGAATGGATGCACCTGAGCCATTGCAAACGATTATGAGCCATGTCACTCAAGGTCTCTAAACACTGGTTACTAATGTCTGACGGACCTCAGCCAGGTAGTCTACACCAGGTTCTACATTCCATTTGACTGACTGAAAATTAAGTGCATGAATGAATAAGCTACAGAGATATACATAGTACTCACAAGATTGTTTACGAAATACACAAAGACGAGATACACATTTCTAATAGTTAAACATGATCCACGTGCGATTTCCAGTTAATTAGACTAGTGACCAAACTACAACCTGATCGACTGAATTCAATCAGCAATAACAACTATTTCGGTATGATAATGTTCACCACTATTGAGTAGATCAACCAATTGTAAATATATCAGTTACGTAGGTCATTCATCAGTCAAGCAGCCCACCAGTATCCTCTTTGATTGAGGGCATTGAGTGGGAAGATTTAAATCGCGTAAGGAGCATCAGCTTCTCCAAGCTTTTAAATACTTCGTGCTACTGATGATGAGTACCAACTGGTATGAATCAATTAACACTTTAAAAAAATACACGTGAGATTCATTAACTGACAATACTGGTCGTTTTATCGTCTTCAGATAGACAAAATCTAATCAGTAACATCAAAGAATATACACAAACACGCTATCTGTAATTACTACTAATCAGTGATTATACAGTAGCGTACAATAATTGCTTACCTTATGTTCACAACTAGAACCATTGAAACTGTACAATGACAGAGTATCTGAAGATGATTGAATTTTATTCGTTTTAGGTGAAGGTATTTGACGTAAACCAAATGCCATTGATACAATAGCAGTCATATGAGTTTCAGGTCCAAACACATAAATTGGAATATTGATATTACAACCTGGGCGTTGACAGAAAAAGAATTAAAGTAAAATCAACAAGTTTTAAAAAGAAATGTAAAATGTTAATTTTAAGATAAGAAACAATTATTAATTCAAAATAGTATTTAATGTGATAAGTTGGCTGGCTAGCTCTACAGGAATAAATGTTATACATATCAAACTGTAAAATAAGTTGGTTAATCATTATTTTAATAAGCAGCTGTTGTTACTGGTAAGCTGGCAAACACTGGCAATCAATCAATTTGGTAGGAGCTTTCATGATTAGAAATTATAACAATTTTTCGACAGTCGTTTCAGTTCACTTTAATTCAAAAGGGAAATTTTTAATTTAGCATTGTCAATTACAATTACATCACTTGCTTGTTTGTTATTTCTTCAGTTTTGTATTAAGGGTTACTGGAAAGTTATATGATAACAAAACATTCACGAAGGAGGTACACACTATTGTTTCTCACAATAGTGACTCCCTAAACCGATCTTCAACAAATCAAAATTTTAAAAAAATATCAAAAGCAAAATTCATATTGGAGCTCCAAATAACAATGATGCCAAAGTATGAAGTGTGTCGATATTTTCTAAGCGTGCAACTTATAGAGAGTAATAATGAACTCTTAGAGTTCATTTAAATATTTTAAGACGATGTAAAACAAATTCTTGATTAAAACTGATCCTGTTTGTCCTCAAATGCCGTGGCACGACCGAGAATGAGGAAAGTCTACTATCTCGAAATGCTCTCATATAACCATGCGTATATAGCCACTGTCAGGGAAGTCCTACTCACTGCCCTTTTGTGGCACAAGTTTTGTTCACGAGATTGAAAGGACGAAATGCGAATGTCCGGAGCTTTAACCCGGTTGCTGAAAACAGAGGATCCACCTAGAGGAGTTGGGAAACCCTAGTTCCAAAACAATGTTGTACATGGGCTCCATGATCCTGTAGTAACAAATGGCGTTGGTGACCGGCTACTGTGGGACAGTATTTCCTTACGTAGCTCCACTCCTTTGTGGATTAAACTTTTAGGTCAAAGGCCAGGAGTATGCCCCCCCTTGGAGAACTACCTGCTTCGGTTTGGGCATCCAAGCAGTATTCCTGCCCAATCACATACTCAATAATTTGTGTGGCACATAAAAATTTAATTGTCTCTTTGTACTAATATTGTTGGGTTTAAATAAATTTTGAATTTTTAAGAATATTGTTTGTTAATATATTTAGTTGAATTACTGAAACTGATGTAGTGACAATCATACATCTCTCATTCTGATAGTCATATAAGTGATACTACTCAAACAAAAATGAGCACTCAATTAGACAATGGAAACGTTTCACTCAATGGGTTAATACAGGTGGTCATCACTAAACTAATAAATTTTTGATTATTTATTTATTAAGTGTAAATACATTCACCGAACAACTAAAGCCTTATCAAAGAAACCGGTATTAAGAACCCGAATGTGAGTGAGACTATCTCGGAAAAGGATGGTCTTATTATCCATTCTCAATCCAGGAGACTGGATCGATGGGCAGAACACTTTAGGGATCAGTTCAACTGGCCTCGAGCCACTCTTCGGTTACCCACGATCTCCAGTCATCCTGAATGGCAAATCGACGTAAGTCCCCCTAGTCTTAATGAATTTGAAAAAGCGTTAGGAAATCTGAAGCGAGGACGAGCTGCAGGTCCTGATAGAGTGACCCCTGAGATATTTAAGGATGGTGGTCCAGTTTTAGCAGCTAGATTGACTGAGATCTCAGGTAAAATCTGGGAACTGGACGTAATCCCATCCGACTGGTCTCAATCCTTGATTGTCCCAATCTATAAGAAAGGACAGAAGTCTTCTTGTGACAATCACAGAGGAATAAGTCTAACTAATATAGTATCTAAAATATTGGCCTCAATAATACTTCGACGCTTAACGAAAGCTCGTGAAGAGCAGACTAGAGAAAACCAGGCTGGTTTTCGACCTGGACGTGGCTGTATAGACCACGTCTTCACACTCAGACAGGTCCTGGAACATAGACACACATTTAGGCGTCCTACAATAGTTGTTTTCCTAGACCTTAAGGCGGCATTTGACTCTGTTGATCGTAAGGTTCTGTGGCAGTGTCTGTCATTGAAAGGTGTACCACAGAAGTACATTAACCTCATACAAGCTCTTTACTCGAACACCACTGGTCGGGTGAGGGCTTATGGCGAACTGTCACCGGAATTCTTCACTTCAAGTGGTGTCCGTCAGGGATGTCCACTTTCTCCATTCTTGCTTAATTTTATCATAGACATGCTCCTAGAGTTAACATTATCCTCGTCCGAATTTTCAGGTGTAGATCTTTTACCAGGAGGCTCGCTTATTGACTTAGAATATGCCGATGACATATTTCTACTTGGTGAAGACGCTGACAAAATGCAGAGTCTTCTGACTACCATAAGCAACAATGCGAGCATGTTCGGGATGCGGTTTTCCCCCTCGAAATGCAAAATGTTGCTTCAAGACTGGGTTGCTTCGGCACCTGAACTAGTGAAAGGGAGTGAAGTAGTCGAGCGTGTAGATCACTTCACTTATCTTGGGAGTCTCATCAGTGCCGATGGCCTGGTGACTGACGAAATCTCAGCACGGATACAGAAGGCTCGATTGGCTTTTGCCAACCTGCGTCACTTATGGCGTAGGCGAGATATCCGTTTGCTGACTAAAGGACGAGTGTACTGCGCAGTAGTTCGCTCCGTCTTACTTTATGGCTGTGAAACATGGCCAGTGAGAGTAGAAGATATTCGTAGGTTACTGGTTTTCGATCATCGATGTCTTCGAAGCATTGCTCGTATATCGTGGGACACCCGAGTGAGCAACGCTGTTATTAGGAATCTGGTGCTAGGTAAGAATGGCAGATCAATCGATGAAGTATTGAAAGTACACCAGTTGAGGTGTTTGGGACATGTTTTACGTATGCCCAACCACCGACTGCCTCGAAGAGCTTTGTTTTGTGGTGTAGGAGTAGGTTGGAAGAAAGTTAGGGGCGGCCAAACCAAAACATGGCACAAATCCATGAAGTCATTGACTAGTGGACTGAGCCATGTCGGTAATTGTCGACTACCTGGTTGGGGTCCGCGAGATGATAATAATCGATGGTTAGAGACCTTGAATGACATGGCTCAAAATCGTTCGCAATGGCGCCAGTGCATTTATTCTCTGTGTTCTCTCAAATCCTAATCTTCTGGATTCTTCAACCCTCTAGTTTCGACTCTCTAAACTTTTCTCACTGAATCATACTTCTTGAGTAGTATCTTCTAATCCTAACCTCTCCGATTATTTCTAATTCCCTTACTACCTCTTCTACTATTGGATTTGAATTGACAATTACTTCTCTGTGCTGATGTGGTATGGCAACATGAACTGATGTACTTATGTACAAGGTTCTACGTTGCATCTGACTGACTGACTGACTGAAAGTTTGTTGTAAATATTTACACTACAAACGTGTGAAAATTTAAATTTAACATAAAAATAATATTTTAGCTTTACCCTACCCAATTCACGCATTACACGAAGACCCTCCTGATAGTTGGGGCCAGCACGACGGACAAATATACGTATATTATGATTTTGCAATTGTTCTTTGAATTCTGTCAAAGCACGTACAATACCTTTGAATGTAGCAGCAACATTAGTGAAATTTGCAATTCCTCCACCAATCAATAGAACTTTACCTGGAAATGTTGAGAATTTAAAGAAATGCCTTAGATAAAGCGAAAGGAAATTAATAGTGAGTCTTAACAATGTTGTCTAGAACAACAATATAATCACAGCAATTAAACCATCCACCACAGTAAACATAATAGTACGAGTAGATTACCTAGAAAATCGAATAAACTTTAAGATAGGGAAACAGAAACATATACAATGTCTCTTTATCACTAATCAACTTTTTAACTAATTATTCAACTGACTATCAAACTAACATGTAGTTAGTGTTACGGTTTATCAACACAAAATGATGTGCAAAGTAATACAAAAGACTGATCATAAATAACTGAATTACGATGATAACACCATTGTCTAAAGGGACTAGATTATAATCACTGTAGGGCTTAATACAAATATGCACCATTCAAAAACGTCACTACATTACTGCAACTCACTGGCCAAATAAACGCTTAAGTATTCAGCTTTAAGTTACTGTTTGTAGGGTGGATAATGATACTAGCTGAGTGTCTGGACTAAAACATGTGGACTGAGATTTGAACCAGTGATATTTCCTATACGGAATTTTCCAAGCTTTGTAAACCTTCCCTATATAAGTAAATAAAGTATCAAAAACCATTTATGTCTAAAGTGAAGCGGTACATAAACAGTCAAAAAAACTGAAGTTCAACCCAGTAGATTATGAGTTCCAATCTTGTGCTACCAACTTCTGTCTTAGACAGCTGGGTGGTAATTCCTACCAGACTTCATATCTGAAAGTATGATTCACAGTCGTATAAACGATTTTTCACTTGATAAATAAGACTTAGAATCCCACACTCTTCTTTCTCGCTATCCCTCGTTCTCTAATGATAATTTAAGTTTAAAGCAAAGTTCAAGAGAGAAAAAAAGAAAACTATTTGGAATGTGTGTGAATCTTACCATCTGGATGAGGTTCCCCAGTGGTCATCAAGGTTAGGATCGTTTTTGAATATTCATAAGTTAATTCCTCTGATGGTGCTCCAGAATATTCACCATAATTAGCTAAATCTTTTGCACCTTGACTGGCACCACCAGCTGCTTTGATTTTCTCAGCTAGTTCACATACTGTATCAGCATAAATCACTGAAGCTCCACCACCCGCACTCATTGTCCAAATACGACCATTTGGATTGAGTACGGTTAACTTTAACGATGCACCTGTTCGAGCATCTAATTTCGCGATGTAAGCTTCCTAAAGAAAATAAAATATTCGAAAGTGTAACTAAATTTCCATTGGAAAGTACAATACACATATATCAGGTACACATCTGCACACGAGGGTTCGAGTCACACTGAAGTCTGAAAGCCGGCATAATATTACTCAACTGCTCTAACCAAAGTAGGCCGAACAAGAAATGAACACAAGAGTTAGTAGATGGAAGTTTAACCTTCAAACTATTATATCATCGCTATAAGTTAGCATACGTTTGAGAAAGTAGTTTAAGTAAATGCATATTTTTGGCATTCCCATGACAAATAGAAATATCTATTCAGAATATAAGTATGTATAGATCTATTTCATGCTTGCGACATTTCATATTGCATTATTCGATGCAGAATAAATTGAGTGTGTTTTATCAATCGCTTTCTGGTTAATCTGAATAAGTCTCGTAAAAATTGCCATATATCCAACAAATTGAATGTACAATGAGTAAAAAGCTTTCGAAAGCGTTTCGTGATATTCACTTTTTTGAAAGAAATATAATCAATCATCAAATAACTTCTTAAAATGCAATTCAAGATGCTTGATGAAATTTTTTTTAATTATCTAATACATATCTACTGACTTGACGCTCTACTGAACTTTAAATGTTTTTATGATAATCTAACATGTACGGAAATTTTAACGAAACTTAAGGCGATAGTTAAGGTAAAAGTAACACAACCGTTATAACATTGAATCAGTCGACACCTAATATCTCATCAACATAGTGCAAGCCATGTAGAATCACTGAAACTAGTGACCACATTGCAACTTAGTCCATAAAATTCGACCAGCACTAAACAGGACTTAACAGACATGACTACCAGTCACTACGTAGGGGAAGATCAATTGTAAATACATGTATCTTACAGGAGTTCAGTTGAGACTGGGGTAAGCCAGTGGAACAGTCGCCGACTGTGAAATTGAGTGATACAGAATCGGATCAACCAGGAGGAATCAGCTTCCCTAAGACAACATGGACACCTTGATAAAGAGTGCCAAATAACACAAAGCATAGATCCAGAGTTTCCACCTAAAACCTAGAAAAGCAGGTTCCCCCTAGCTCGAATCTTTAAGGTTAGAAAATTTAAAAAATTAAAGGCATAAGTAATATAGCTAGGAATTAATTATAATAACCTAATATACTACAACAAAAGATCTATTTATTCCCTAGAAATTTATTATTTCTTTTGCAAACAATTAAGAAAATAGGAACGGTACTTTTATGGTTAGGGAATTGAATATTTGATAGAAGTTCACCTACTCACAACGACTTCAGTTTAAACGGTTCGGTAGAATCATAAACTCTGGCATAAAGTGTAAAGCCGATTACATAGTAAATGGATTATATCAAGCATTTATTCGTGACATTAGTAGCATAAAACGCGAAGAAAATTGTGATGTGGATAAGTTTGAAAACCACTCAGTCATTCAGTTAGTTAGTGAGTTAATCACCAACCCAAATGGACAAAACAAATAAGTACAAAAATTATTATTATAATGATCATAATTACCTCTTTAGTTTCAGTTCTACCAAAACCAAAAGGAAATTCCAACATTTTCCCATTTACTGACCATTCCAAGCTTGAAGTGAACAAATGTTCTGCGCATTGATCCAATTTCGCAGCTACATCCAATATGTGAATGTATAATTGTTCGTTGGTATCATTATTGACATGATTATTACAATCACTAACTTCGTTTACATTCATATTCCATTTACATATAACTAATGGATTGATTTCTAAATAGGTGAAGTATAATTTGTCAAAAACTGCATGCAGTTCAACAATGAAATCAGCTAGCATCCTAATAAGAGATATGTTTTGTCGCTTAATTAGAGTAAATGTAAACATATATGAATTTTAAATAAATTATTACATGATTACAAGAAAAGTACTTTCATTACCTTGATGTGGTCGGATTTGATCATCACAATAGACCAGTCACACTAGATTAGCTGCAATAATTGATATTTTGTGTTCTACCGTATCAGGTCGGTTGGTTATAGAGAGATTAGACAAAAAGTAGCAAACTTAATGTCTAAGAGAGAAGTCGTATTGCCAATTGTACTGGGTGTAACGGTAGTAGGAGGTTTCCTTAGGGAAATCCGAATATGCAGCGACGCTGCCAGAAAGTGCCACACTTCGCCATCAGTCAGGCTTTAAAAATGAGGAGCTATATCGAAAACTACTCACAAAAATGTTGTATGTGGTTGACTTCAAATAGTTATATTTAGGGTTTGGCGGGTCGAAGCAGCATCCAAGGACCTCCCAATTAATATTGGCGCACCTACGATTGAGGAGATCAGTATAGCCATCAGACAAATCAAGAGCGGCAAAGCAGCAGGACCAGACAACATTCCAGCAGAGGCAATGAAAGCAGATGTGGAAGCAACTGCGAAAATATTTCACAAGCTCTTCAAGAAGATTTGGGATGAGGAACAAGTACCATCAGATTGGAAAGAAGGATACCTGATCAAAATACCAAAGAAAGGCGATCTCAGCAAGTGTGAGAACTACAGAGGCATCACTCTTCTTTCAATACCAGGCAAAGTCTTCAACAGGGTATTGTTAAACAGAATGAAGGACTTCGTAGACGCCCAACTTCGAGATCAACAGGCCGGATTTCGTAAGGATCGATCATGTACTGACCAAATTGCTACATTACGGATCATTGTGGAACAATCAATTGAATGGAACTCACAACTCTACATCAACTTCATCGACTACGAGAAAGCATTTGATAGCGTGGATAGGAAAACACTGTGGAGGCTTCTTCGACACTACGGTGTGCCTGAGAAAATAGTTAACATCATACGGAATTCTTATGATGGATTCAACTGCAAAATCGTGCACGGAGGTCAGCTGACAGACTCTTTTGAGGTGAAGACCGGTGTGAGGCAAGGTTGCTTACTCTCACCCTTTCTCTTTCTCCTGGTCATCGACTGGATTATGAAGACGTCAACATCTGGAGGGAAGCACGGTATCAACTGGACAGTTAGGACGCAGCTGGACGATCTGGACTTCGCAGATGACCTGGCTCTTCTATCGCACACTCAACAACAAATGCAAGAGAAGACGACCAGTGTAGCAGCAGCCTCTGCAGCAGTAGGTCTCAACATACATAAAGGAAAAAGCAAAATTCTCCGATGCAACACAACATGCACCAACCGAATCACGCTTGATGGAGATACCTTGGAGGACGTTAACACCTTTACATATCTTGGCAGCATCATCGACGAGAAAGGTGGATCGGACGCAGATGTGAGGACGCGGATTGGCAAAGCGAGGGCTGCATTTCTACAGTTGAAAAATATCTGGAACTCCAAACAACTTTCAAACGAAACCAAAATCAGGATTTTCAATACAAATGTCAAGACAGTTCTACTGTATGGAGCGGAAACATGGAGAACTACCAAAGCCATCATTCAGAAGATACAAGTGTTTATTAACAGCTGTCTACGCAAAATACTTCGTATTCGTTGGCCAGACACCATCAGCAACAACGTACTGTGGGAGAGAACAAACCAGATTCCAGCGGAATCGTAAATCGGGAAGAAGCGGTGGAAGTGAATAAAGCATATACTGTGAAAAACACCCATCTGAGTCACAAGGCTAGCCCTCACATGGAACCGTCAAGGCAAAAGGAAAAGAGGAAGGCCGAGGAACACATTGCACCGAGAAATAGAGAAAGACATGAGAAGAATGAACAAACAGTGGACAGAACTGGAGAGGGAAGCCCAGGACAGAGTTGGTTGGAGAAAACTGGTGGGCGGCCTATGCTCCATTGGGGGTAACAGGCGAAAGTAAGTAAGTAAGTAAGGGTTTCGCGGTCAAACTCTCAGGCTGTCAAGGTTAATCCCTAATCAAGTTCTCTTTCTGAGTCCCTCAAGAAGTATCCTTACATTATGATAACTATCCTAAAGCTTCTAACAGCAACTGAGCCAACTTTATCGTTAAATAGATACTTTTTTTATATTTTTCCAATAAAAGAGGTATTACTTGATAGTCCTGTAAAGGTTAGTTTACTTTGTAAACATTTATCCTAACGGATTGATATTAGTTGATATATAACTTAAAAATCAAAGGGAACTGCTGCTATCCATACTAATATTTTAACCCGATGTCTAGTGATTCAAACACTAGCGAATTATTCATTCAAATACCTCTAACTTGTTCGAAAATATGAAACGGTATGCAACTTCTTGTTATCAATACTGAACACTTCAATTAATCAGCCTAAGTTGCCATAAACACATCCTCAATAAACAGTCTCAAAATAATCTTTCTTGCAGAATTAATAGTTTGAGACAATGTACAATTTGTTCAGGATTCAATGAGCTTCAGAATAATAATTTGTTACAGAAAATAAGTATTTATTAAATTCATGAAAAAAATTGATGCACATCGAAAATGAGCTATTAAATCGATCTACTTAACAAAGTAACATATTCCCAACTAACCGTGCGCGCTTTGGACATTTTACTCCTGAAAGTAATGAACTTTGCAATAATTGGTCAGCAGAACAACCAGCTTTCATTCCAGAATCAGATTTCATAATACTTTCAACTGAAACTTCAAAACGTTTAGCCTATCAAAGTTCAAAAGAAACGACCACTAAGCAAGCAATGTATAAACATAAACACACGTTATTAGTATAATAGTAACATTTTCGAAAACCTGGCTTGCGAAGATTTAGCCACTTTGAAGACAGTTTTTATCACTAACTTAGATCACCTAGAGAAGTACAGAAGCCCGCGATCATTAAAAAATCCACTTAATTTTAGATTAGGACACCTTAACACAACTACTCATTAACAATTTTAAGCGAGAATAGATTGAGTACTCTGGGTTTCACAGCTAGTACAGTATTACTTAAACAAATTGGCCGGCAAACGCCTTCTTATAATAATAGCACTCCGTAATTAAGCCTTATCGTGTTAACCATGAAAACAATAAACCGTGTGTTTGATCTAGTGTGGATCTCTGTCACACACTTTTGGGTTTCGAATCAGAGCAAAACAGTAATCCAGTGAGACTTGATTTTAAGCGATTTTTGTCTGGTATCAGTTTACGATATAAAATAACTCATCTTCGTATAAAACGTGTAGTACCCAGTACAAATCAGTTTAAATCATTGTTATCACAATCATTTCAAAAACTGTTGATATATGGATGCATTTTTTTAATACATTTTTATTTTAATTGCTTATTTGGTTCTAAATACTTTTTTAGTTCAAGCTCCATCGAGCAAAAGAAAGTTATATGAAGGCTAAACTTTTAAGTGGAGTGAGTGCTAAAAAGATAATGTGGAGAAATCTCAAAATAAATAAACAGTCGAGAAAGCTGGAACAGTCTGATTAAATATTACCCATAATAGAAGTTCATTACACTAGAACAGATTTCTGTTACATGCACTTTGTATAGAATCGATGCAATGAATGGGCCAATCACCCATCGGCCGAATTGCAACCTTTTTGGCTAAAGAACCGTTCATTTTCAGACCTGATAAGCAACGCTGATCAGTATATGAATTTTTGAGAATGAAATATTTTAATAGAACAACCGAATTATTCAATAACAAAATATGGTGGTATCTCAAGAACAATAATCGGAGCAGAATAACATCCATGCATTTGCTCAGCTGATTTGGAAAAACAGGTGTACAAAACTTTTACGCCATTTGCATCTCCGTCTACATCACATACAGAGGGAGACTAAGAGAATATGCTTTCAACAGTGTGACTGTATATGATTTCCTCCACAATGAACAAAAAGTCAATATTTTGAAATATTCTATGTATGAACAAATTTCCATATATTGGAATATTTCGAAGATCTTTCCATCAAATTGTTTTAAATAAATTTATTTGTTATTAAAGGATGCTACGGTTAACATTGAATTGTTATGGTAATTTTAGTTCACGCTCTTAATTACAAATACTTTATCTTTACTTCAAATTTTCTGAGCTTTACTTATCTAACCTTGTTAATCAAGTGTCATTGCAGTTGTGATTACGCAACAAAGAGCACTAATCCTCAACTCCTAGAAACATCTTTTTAAGCTACTTGCTTTTGTTCAACAAAATACTTATAAAAATATCTTATGAAAAATTAACAGCACAAACTTTTCTTATAATTTGCCTCGATCTATTGCATTTTTACTGATCTACCAACCTGGTCAAGACTTTTTTAATGTGATCGAAACTATGCACATTTGTTTCTGATAGTTAATGCTATAGCTCTTATGTTGTAAGTAGCTGAAGACAAAACCATAACTAAATTTTAACTAATATTTTTTGACTACAATTTTTTCCTGAACTTATTAAAATTAACAAGTGGGAAGGATTATATGGAGAAAAATCTTTGACAAAATGACATTTTTAGGGAAATGAATTACAATACTATACATACCTTAGAGTCGACTTCACCCACATCTACTCCACCAACATGATGAAAAAGAATAACGTTTGAATTTCTTTGTGTGTACATACATAGATAGTACTCTTCTTGCTTCAACGACAACACAGAGTTGTTTTCATCAAATTTCATTTGAAGTAATAGAATAAATGAGTAGTGAAAAATTGCCATGATTAGAATAGATATCAATGTAGTAATGAATGTAAATTCACACATTTATAAGGCTAGCCAGATTAATTTTAAAGTGAACAATAATAGTTCAATATATAAAATGAAGCATAGGGGCAATGTATGCTCCATGTATTGACACGAGTTTCTAGACTATGACTTCATAAGGTAAAATAAGTTCAAATTACCTGTTCATGTGGCACAAATGGTTCAATAAGGAAGCGATCCAAAATTCCACAGGTAGAACCAATCTAAAGTAAAACAATGAAAACCAAGATATTGTGAAATCGAAACGAAAAAAAAAAAAAAACTAAACAAATATAGGTTGCGTTGATGGGCAAATTGAATATCTACTTAAATTCCTGTTGACTTGATAACACATTGAACGAAACTTAGGATCAAAACAAAATATTATGCTGACAATCTATCTTACCATTAAGAGGAAGACCAATTACAACCAATTAAAGTGTAGTTTGAGTGCTTAACCAAACATAAAATTAAGGAGGAAGGGTGGTAGTAGAATCATTCATGTCAGTTTTGATGCTTTGTTGTTTAATGATGATGTTATATTTACATAGATAAATGTCGGTATAAATGAGCAACGAAGGGTACATGCACCACAAAAATAAAGTGAAATTATGAAGAAAAAGAGGAAGGATTATAATCAAAAACAGATAAATGAATTAAATAGGTGAATAAGAATAGTTTCACTTATTCCATCCATTTATCTGTTTGAATGAGAGTAGCGGGATGTGAATACACAATCTCATCTCTGTGTTAATGTAGAATAGCAACTTGAACCGATGTACGTACTAAGGAGTTCTGCGTTGTAGCTGACTGACTGGGTGAATGAATGAAATAGTCCAGTTTCAACATAGGTAGCATGAATTCTTTTAGCAAAGTCACAATTTCATATTCAGAATGTAAAACAGCACAACACTACCGTTACTAGCCTCTGTTCTGAGCTGTCTGATGTCAAAAGTCCTGGAGTCGAACCATTTATACGATCCCGGTAAGAGAGTAGTGATGGGGCGGCAAATGCAATTTTTGTACATTATTTTAAATGTCACGGCTCCGCGTAATGAACTGGAGAGAAGGAATTACTTAGTGGAGCAATAAAGCTTTGATTCAAAATCAAAGGATTACTAAGTTCGAAAGATCACGAGAGTCAGTCAGTTAGTTGCAATGTAGAACTTCGTACGTAAGTACATCATTTCAGGTTGCCATACCACATCAGTACAGAGATATAATTGTCAATTCAAATCCCAAAGTGATAAAGATAGTAGAGGTATTAATGCTAATGAAGAAGACTAGGGTTCGAAGATATTATTCAAGACCACGAGAGAACAAAAGGTGTACGAACCCATCTCTTGCTTTCGACTACCATAACAGCTGCTTCGTTATTGTGGAAAAAACATCATGACTACGGCAACTCACCAAAGGAATAAATACTTATCGATGACAGTAAAGGTTTATCGATAATATTAAATCCCAATAAAAAGAACCTTGAAACACTGATGACAATAATCTTCAGAAACGGAAGCATACGTTATACGTCCATGTGCAGTGTTGCTTATATTTACTAGCCAGCTGAGCTATTTTCACAAGTAGGTATAATAAAAAAAAAACTTGAATAGGTATACATAATGGATGTCAACTACTAGCTTGATCTTTATAATACTCTAAAGGAAATATAACTGCATAACTCTTGAAAACCTGGTGCGACAAAATCCTAAGTAATTTTCTTCAGAGTGCTTTTACTTACATCCAAATAGAAAGAAGAATTTATAATTTTTTTCGTCATATGAAGAAACAAATAAATGTAATTACCGTGAATTTACTCCCCAACAAACTTTTTATTTCCTTCTGTAAATCCACCCATTTGAGGCCTACGAAAACTAGCCCCAATTTTCCTCTGCGTTTTTTAAGGACATCAGGCTTACTAACAAGATTCTATAACGGAATAAATCGGTATATGTTAAAAATCTTCCGTACGTTGTGTAATATCCACTCATCGGTTGCTAAACAAAGATCCTCACTTGTTTTAACTACGCGGAGTGGGTTTTTCGCAAGCTTAGAGTAACAAATAGAATTGTATATAATCGCCTTGGCGGACTCTTCGTAAACAGCCTTCGAAGACATTTGACTTTACGTATCTAGCTAAAACTGTACATTCTTTTGATGCTGTAAAACAAAACATCTTTTAACTACTTATAACTTTAACATCTGTTTGATCGTTTCACCTTAACTTTTGAGAGCACACATTTTTGCATCTAATTCATGGGAACTTTATTTGGAACTTTAATAGTAAAGTGAATGTTTGTCGTTCGTCGGTCTGGGTCAATGTTGATCTGTTTAGTGCCATGAAGATTAATACATTTTGTGTCATTTGAATATGCCTCAAATACCCCGAATTGAGTCAAATGTGCCCTATAAATGAATATCCATGAGTTTACTTGGTTGTTGACTTTATCTCTTCCGAAAGCAGTGTTTTGACGCCAGTATTCAGTCGTTAGAGGTAAGAATGAGATTTCCAGATTCCGAAATTGGACAGTGTGGCGTAAATTTATGCAGTGACATGCAATTCAGCAAAATTTTAAGTATAAGCTACAGAAAAATATAAGTTGTGACATCCAATATCTTTTTCACAAACTAGTATAAACCAATTGATTTTTTTTCACTCGATTCTCATTCTTTCGGTACAGTTCCAGATGTTTGGCAGTGTCCAGTAAATGGGGGTCTAGCCACTTAAGTGAAATAATTCTAGTCACTTGGCAGTTGGTCGCGAGTTTTTATGTATCGGGATTTGAACGTAAACGTTTGTTTCAGGGCAGTAGGCTCTCTGGATACCAGCAGCTATCACACCATCAGACCGGAGATCAATTGGTTGCAATGTGAAGAAACACAGGGAGAAAATTCTAGTGATAATGACTAAAAGATTTCAAAACTAAGTAAATAACAGACAATTTAGTTTATCATTTGGTAGTGAAGATTGTTCGAGAGAACTGAAGTGTAGGCAAGGGAGAGGAAACAGAGATAATACGCGAGATATATTAATTAGGTGATCTAAGGGGGTTGCAATAATAACGACTAGCAGGTCTCAAAACATGCATCACGCACAGCTTGTCAAAGAGGGAGACGATAATCCGTATGTGAGTACGTGTTTATCAAGTCTCTTCTTAAAGTTGTCCACTGAGGGAGCTTTGGTCACCTAGGCTGAATGAGCATTCCAAGTTGCGATCACTCTCAATAAGAAAAAGGGTGAACGAACCTGAATATTCGCTCTTTGATGTGCAATCTTTCGAGGATTGCCTCGAGGGTGTATTGGTGATGCATCAGTAAAATGCTCACGTTGGGATGGTTTGGCGAGCTTAATATGTTGTACGCCATAATCAGATCACCTCTGATTCTCCTGTATCTCAGTGGGAATAATCCCAAGTGCTGCAGTCCATCTTCGTAAAGTTCATTCTTCAACCCTATCACCCAGTTGGTTGCTCGTCTCTGCACTCTTTTAAATAGAGTGGGTGCGATGACATTGTGAACCTCCAGGACTATGCGCGCGTATATCTTATAAAATGTTAAGGATAATTTCGGGTTGAAAGCACGGTGTTGTCTTCGCATAAAGTGAAGAGTTGCATTAGAATTGGCTATTAAACCGATATGACTATGTGAGGAAACATTAGGGAGCGGAATTCCGATGAGGGTGTCAGTAGTTTGCATCATATGGGGCGTAGTGGGTTCGCGTAGCATTCTAAACATGTCAATGCCTGGTTTAACTGATCTGCAAAGTTTGTGTTAAAGATCTCAGCCATCACTAAGTTGGCGGGGTCTTCTCAGTTCGGTCCTTTGAGAGAACACAATCCCTGATTCGTTGGTTTTCTTTCAGTCGCAAACCTGAACAGATTCTTCGGGTTAGCATGTATTTTGGCAGCTAGCTTTATCTGAAATCATCTACTATCACTCCAAACTTTGGTACTGCATCTGTTTCTCGATAACAAGTAAGAACTTCATGCAGTTTTTTCCTAGACAGGCGAAAGAAGTGACTTGAATTTTTCGCTTATTTCTTTGCACAATGTTCATGTTTCGTCGTATTCACCATTACTTTCTTTTTGACAGCCTTTCTGAGTTATCATGACATATGAAGGATTTAGTCTTCATCTTAAAACTTGAACTTTTAATAATTCACTGAGATTTTGATGGTAATTGACAGTACTGACGTTTAGCTTCGAATTTATAGCCACTTCTATCTTCATTTATTCTGTCCTTTGAAAATTCAAAAGGGATGGCTTATTTTCAAGTTCTTAGCGGTCTAATAGGTGATAAAACAGGGTATATGTTTGACGAATACAGATTATCAGTTCTTCTTTTAAGGTGTTTAGTCTCGTATAGTCGGAGCCTTATAACCTGAATTTGTAGTCCTAACAATTTTTCCAGCAACAAAACACGTATCTCGTGGATCGTGCTCAGTTATTTGTTCTGGACCGGGGAATAATTTAGCTGTTTAACCTTCGTACTCAGTTTACATCCTCAACAGACTTAGTATTGAGTATGACGTATATAATATTGAAATGTTACGCATACGGAGTTGTATACTCCTCTTAAGTTTGAATCCTTTTAATACCCTTTGATACAGTCGCGAGTACCTATGCATATTTGTTACCGGGATTCCCTGATTATATTGGTGTAAAAACACCTAGACACTGGTTAGTTTCACTTCATTTCTGTGCACTGCAGATTAAACAAGTCTAATGCACTTCCGGATTTATTAAACTACAACACAATTTTGGATGCTCTATTACTAGTGTCATTTTCATTCTTATACAATTTCTGGAGATTTTAAGCCCAACAATCAATGTATATCCAAAATTATAATAAAGTGATCTAATTTCGGCACGATTTCTATACTACTGTTGTTTCACTCTTGTCTCAAATTATTGCTATCACTTTCGGTAGTTTTTTTACTAAAGTATATACCAGCTGATTCAAGTTGTCGAACGTAAATTAAAGAACATATTTTCTAGTTATCAGTGAATTCATTTCATCGCGGTCATTCAGTATAAATAAAATGAATTGGACGTGGAACCGAAAGAAAAAGAATCGACCGCGAAGAAATCAAATTGGTTTCCCGATTCCTAATAACAGCGTTGCTCACTCGGGTGTCCCACGATATGTGAGCAATGCATCGAAGACACCTATGATCGAAAACCAATAGCCTACGAATATCTTCTACTCTCATTGGCCATGTTTCACAGCCATAAAGTAAGACGGAGCGAACCACTGCGCAGTAAACTCGTCCTTTAGTCAGAGAACGGATATCTCGCCTACGCCATAAGTGACGCATGTTGGCAAAAGCTAATCGAGCCTTCTGTATCCGAGCTGAGAGTTCGTCAGT